TGGAAAGTGATTTTGCGCAACTTATCAGATCGTGCGCTTTGAGTGGCGCCACCGTCGTTGTAATCAAACTGTAGTCGTTAGTTTTAAAACATTTTTTAAAATATTTCTAATGGTGATTGAACCATGAAACTTTTTATGAGCGTAATTATAATCTAAATTAGCTGAAAATAACTCTAGAACCTAGAGTAAACTCTCCCCTTAAGGCTAGAACCATGTCGCCATAGATACTACAATGGAGACGTAGATTTTAGTATACGTCATAGGTATACGTATATTATATTTTACAAAGTGGCGTATATATATGTTTATGCCATATGGTATTATAGTAAGAAAGTATATATATTTTCCACTGGCAACCACATGATAATTTAGCAAAAAACTCCTATATAATTAAATAATTAGCAGCAGTTATTTTGAAGAATTATAATGCCACTTGCCCAGCACGTCGTATATTTTATCGTACCCAATATTCTACCGTTAATTATTTTGTATGAGTCTTACGCAAAACAAGCAAAAAAATAGGCATTTATATCAACGTGGTTTTAGTCTTTTATGGTAAAAGTTATAACTCTGACTTAATTCGTGTGTGTGCCTCTTCCGGCTGGAACGTCACGAATGCACTCATAAGTAAACATTGATATCATCTTATCATGAGTGAATAATAATATATCTTTTAAATTATTCACCCCTGATCTCATAATACAGACACACGTACGTTCACCCCCCCCCACACAATTCGATTCATTTACTTTATTTACACTTATGGAAATTACATTTTGAAGGTATTATATATATTAATTGCATCAAACAAATTAATTAACAAAGTAACTAAATTTATAGGTGTAAAACTAAATAAATAAAGTGATAAGAGGGCGAAATTACATTTCAGTTTTGCAGACAGCCACTCCTGTAGATTACAAAATAACTAGATGAATCAGCATTGATGACAAAATTACAAAATGATAAATAATATATTATAGGTGCACACATACACGCACGCTCACGTACGCAGACCACTGATCTCTATTATACTAACTAGTATCTCTAGTATCTCTAGTATGATCTCTAGTATGAGATCAGTGACGCACACACACAGCCTATCTTGTATCTCGTATCTTGTATCTTGGCGCCCTCTCTTGTATTTCACAAGGCACCCGAATCAACGAGTGCGGGGATTATCTAGAAAACAAAGGGATAAACGTCGCCTCTAATTTTCTAAATGTTAGTTTCACGAATCGCCAGAATTTTTCTTACATATTCTAATGCTGGTTTTAATATTCCATGGCTGTCTCTTCTCCAGTTATCTATTTGTTGTCCCTCCTTATATATTTCATAACTATCACAATTATATAAATGTTCCATATCTTCTTTCATATCCTTATTAAATCTATTACACTTATCATTGCTAAAATTATTTTTAAAGTATCCTTTTAGATCAATCATGCATGTTTTGCATTTAAATGCAAAACACGAATCGGTAAATGATAATTCTTTCATATATTCCTTCAATCCGCATGTTTCAATGTTTATCATGTTCATTTTTGTTTTGCCTCTAGTTTTCAATTTGTCTCTTTTAATTACTTGTTTTAGTATGGCATCTTTGACTTGTTTTTTCCAGACTCTTTTTGGTTTAAATCCTAGGGCTGTAAATGAGATTTCTAGTTCGTACTCCTCTAGGATTATTAATATTTCATTTCCCCAGTTTCTTCCTTCCTCTTTGATCTGCTGTATAAATACTTACTTCATTAATCTATTGTTGTCTAACTTAATTATGTATTGAAGTAGCATAAGTTTTTTGTATGCATACACAGACGCGCCCGCACGAAGAGAGAAAGGGCGGAATTGGCCGAGATGTACCGATTCCAACCTCGATACCAAACTGTACCACCGGAAGTCAACATACCGCGTATGGTCGCGCCATCTGCTTCCTTTTTGAAATTAACAAGGCAATCATGGTAGGTTGGGAAAACTTGCCTGATAAATCGGGCAAATCACCAGTAATCATTTAATGTGTCACAGTTTAATTACGCAGGTTATTAGGAGTAGTCAATAGTCTCGGCTTACAACCACTTTGTAAGTCTTTAGAGCCCAGAGCAACTGCGAAATCGTAGTGTGATTGAACCATATTTTGTCGCTGACTAGAAACGGCTGTTTCTCTTCCAGTCGTTGGTGGTGCCAGAAAAGTTTCAGCACATTTTGCGTGTGATGAACACGAACATTGATGGACAACGCAAAGTCATGTTTGCCCTTACGGCTATCAAGGTATGTATGTCTGAAACATTAGTTATACACTTCACGTTCAAATAACATTGATTCACTATAATTCCAAGAACGATACTATTAGTATTACTACCAATACCATTGCCATTGGCATTGTTGATATTACCATGTTGATATCGTAATACTATTACTACATTCCACTGTTGATATTACCAGGAGTCTATCAATATGATATTGATAGACTCCTGATATTACTAATACTATTTAACAATACGAATATACGATTTATAGTGCGTTCGATTTGCTTCCCCAGAGCCACCTGGGTTAACCTGGGTAAGAAATCGAACGCATCTGGTTTAGGGAAGATAAACGAACGGTTTTTGGGTTAACCCGGGGTTAATTATCATCATGGATGCCAGTGACAAGAAAAAAAGAATAGCAATTGCAATCTTATTATTAATGAAATCTAAGAATGAGCAAACACGCAGACGTTATAACTCCGCTTTGCTAATCTGAGGGTGCGGGTTTAACGTCTGCAGTCACCCTTGTAAAAATTGTTGCAATTTTTGTTGTGGGCATTGGATTGGTGAATCGATTAGCACTGAGGGCGTGACGGGGGTATATCCGACCCAAAATATCAAGTACAGACCTTCTGTTTGTCAATATCGCTTTCCGAAGACTTTATCTCTGTTTCAGAACTTTGTTTTCATGCAATAATTCATCCTAGTAAGAGTAACTTCGATATTTTTGGCCATCTTGGACTGATTTTTCGATCGGCCAATGAAATTCACTTCCGGTAGTTTCGGTTGACGTCTCTGTACACAATGGATGCTGACAATGTGAAACAACTATGGCGATATTGCGGGGGCTCTTGGCGCGGACTACCATGTTTCCTGTTGAACATCGGGAATAGCAGAAGTAACCGGAAGTGATTTTCATTGGTTGACAAATGTGAATGAAGACAGACAATTTCGTTTGGATGTTTATATTTACCATTAGGTTAACAACTTGATATATTCTTATGTTGTGGCCGCTTAGTCTGAGTCGGCTCGGACTAGCTTCATTACTGCTTGGAGATTTTTGATTTTTGAAGATTTTGACGATTTCGTTGCAATGAATTGTGGGATACTTCCCCAAGTGAGCGGCTCGGCTAGTGGGTTACTTCGGCCTCACCCGGATAACGCAAAAATACCACGTGACTGCCAAATCGAACGTATTTGGGGCTGGCCAGACTAGACCCAGGTGAACCTGGGGAAGCAAATCGAACGCACTATTAGTCTGTCACATCGTGCACACAACCTACCAGTACCATTCATCACCTCTTGCACCATGATATTCCACCTATGCCGCATTTCCCGCAGACATGCGAGGTCTTTAATGGTAGAGTATAAGAGGATAAAATACTATTTGTACACAATAATTGAATGCCTGTGCACAAATTGAAGATTAATTGTTGCTGTCGTTTCTTGTGATAAACAGCTTACATCACATTTGGCAGCATGGTGTGCATAGGTGTGAGGTTGTTGTGTAAAAATACTACGTTTTTACCCTACTTCTATTTTATCGTTGAATACCAGCTGCTTCCGCAAGAAATTAAGTTTGTTGGAGGTCGACACTTGGTGTAGTTTATATTAGGTAGGTTACGTGCATTATGTAGCATGCTGCCCAACAGTACTAGAAGTCTAGGTTATATCTAAATAATAATAAGAATATCTATATTTAACTAAAATTCTTAATTACTGTCTTTGACGTGTGAGAGCCATGTTTCTGTCTCCTAACACAGTATCAGTGGCGTTTTGACTATTTCGTTAAATCTTCACAGGGCTGTGGTCGCCGATATGCCAATGTTGTGTGCAAAAAGGCAGACATTGACCTGAACAAGCGTGCCGGGGAGCTAATGGAGGAGGAGGTCAGTGTTTACAAAAAATAGATTAGTGTACTAGTGTTATGATTCCATTATTTTCATGGGTAAAACTATGAAAGGAAATCTTATTCGCTGTGGCTACGGGTACGGCAGCCGTATCTTAATGTCTCGAGGCTGGAGGTATGGCAGGCCATTCGCTTTCATACTTAACGAGGCAAAGATGGCGGCGGATGGCGCCAGATTTTGAAATAACACCTTGGGGAAATAAATTCACGATTTGAGAGTTTAGACAGATGAGCTAGAACCCTAACCCTAACCCTAACGCCAAAATAGGGCTTCAACGAACGACGGCTGCCGTACCTCCAGCCACTGCTAATCTTATTTGGCAAGAGATGTGGTAAACACTTATGGCCAACAATGTGTTTACACTCTGTCAGAGTGATATATAGGGTGTATTTTGAATCAGTCAACTTGGTTAATGAATCTTTATGGATTTTTATGCGGTAGTCTTAGCGAATCCACAAATTTGGACTGAGGTTTAACAATCGGATTAGAGGATTAAATGTGAATTTAAACTCTGAACTTTCCTTATCAGGTTGAAAGGATACTTACTATCATGTCCAATCCAAGACAGTACAAAATTCCAGACTGGTTCCTCAACAGACAAAAGGATATCAAGGATGGCAAGTACAGTCAGGTAAAATTCGTTCATTTATCTTAATTCTGAGCACATTAGCCTAACGGCTGCTTCCATCGAGAAGTGGGTCCTTGGTGGTGAAAAGGTTGGGAATCACTATTAAGTGTATATTGTCAGTACAGTAAAACCCGGTTAGCTTAGCTGATACAATAATGGAAAATGGATTGCTAGCTGAAACTGTGTGATAGGGTTGTACTCTCAAGAGGCTCACCCGGTGGTGCACCATTGAATTGTAATGACAGTGCCTTTTGACTTTTCTAGCATAGCATCTGTATCAACGGGGGCATTGCTAATCAGTAAGCTCATAATAAATTCTGCCAACCTCTGCACTGGGGTGAAGTGGATGCAAGTTTTCTGTTACATGGTTTGTTAACAAATTTTGATCTGAATATCCATTTATGCTGTAGGTAATGGCCAATGGTCTTGACAACAAGCTCCGCGAGGATTTGGAACGTATGAAGAAGATTCGTGCTCACCGTGGTCTGCGACACTTCTGGGGGTAAGATGCATGCCTTTACATATGTGCTTGTCCTAGCTGTCATTCACTGTGGCCAGTGTTGGAATTTTCAGTCTGTCAGTATGGTATTATTTGACAAATACAAGTTATTTGAACAGTACATGGTTTCATTACCATGGTTTCATGGTTTCATGGTTCAATTAAGTGCAACTAAATTGTAATACCCGGGTAAATAATCAGGTGGCCGTATGAATGTTATAGAATAACATTGAGAAATAAACCAAGCACTAGTAGTATTCCCATACGACCTAAAAGAAAATCCGATATCAGAAATGAGATTTCAACTCTCTTTAAATGGCAATAACATTAAATTGAAGAGCAGACTTTTATGGACCCTGGTTCCACAATTAGGATGAATGGTCAGGTGCTCAAATTTTAATGTCTTGGTGTTGATCTCTGATTGCAGGCTGAGAGTGAGGGGCCAGCACACAAAGACTACTGGACGCAGAGGAAGAACTGTTGGTGTGTCGAAGAAGAAGTAAAGTGCTGGTAGACTGTAATATATCAAATAAATATGGTAAACTAAAAATCGAGGATTTTTGTTGTTTGCCTACGAGTTCTACATTCAACTCATGTGATTTATGTGATGCACAAATAATGAGACATCTGTCAAGTTTTTGAAAAACAGCAAGTGAACATGCTTAATAATAACAATTTTATTGCAAATATCAATTAAATTGACTAGTCAATAACAAAATGCACTGGTATACATAACTTTGACAAAAATATGTCAAAAAATGCAAGACAGACTGCTGGCCAGGCCGCGAATTTTTTCCCGCCTACAAGTTATATCCATTGGGCTTGATATACGCATATCAATCAACTTCCGCATCAGACTTTCCGTACATCGAGGAATGATGCAAAAATCCGAACCTGAACCCGAACCGGGAAAAAAATTCGCGGCTTGGCCCAGCAATGGACAATGAAGTAAAACTTCACATACTGCAGACATAGTTTGGGTACCTCATTAAATAAGTTCATTCGGTTGCTAGAATATAGATAGTATCTATCTGGGTTAATTGTGACTCGACCGTGTTGATTGAAAACGGTACAGCTGACATTTCAAAACACATAAAGAAGACAACCCGTATAGACCCATAGTCGATTACACAGGCTCCGTAGCATACAATGTCAAAAAGCTTAGCCGAGCTACTAGCCCCATTGGTACAATGGTAGGCACCACCGAACACTACATCAAGAACTCAACGGAGTTAGCGGAGAAACTCAAAACAATACGTAAGGAACCAGACGAGATATTAGTCTCCCATGACGTTGTCTAACTCTACCAACACACCGATCCCAGAATCGATTAACATAATTACGTCGAGACTGGAGGCAGACACAACATTGAAGAAGCGAACCAACCTCGCCACGGGTGACATCATCGAATTTGCTCGCATTCGAACTTACGACCACATATTTCAAATTCAGAGACCAGATATACAACCCGAATTTTGGAGCAGCCATGGGTAGCCCGGTCTCGCCTATCGTTGCCAATCTACATGGAATGGCTTGAAACGAAAGCCATTAAGACAGCACCGACTGATCTCAAACCTAAATTGTGGGTACGCTATGTAGATGACACATTGGAAATCATCAAGTCTGGTACAGTCCAACGATGGACACAACACCTCAACAGTACCAACAACATCAAATTCACGTACGAGGAATAACTCGATAAAAAAATTCCGTTCCTCGATACACTCGTTCACAAACGAGAAGATGGTTCACTAAAACTGACTGTGTATAGGAAAAAGTCTCACACGGACGAGTACTTAAATTTCAACTCACACCACACAGTCAACCACAAACCGTCAGTGGTACGGACGCTGTTTGATCATAGGGATAAGATCATAATGGAGAGCGAGGACAGGGAAGCTGAAGCGCACCACATCAAGGACGCGCTAGGTAAATGCGGCTACCCCAATTGGGCACTCGAAAAAGTGTCCAAGGAGATGAGGGATAATTCGAAGATCATCGATCGCGAGCCAATCAAAATCAGGCGTTGGATTAAGGAGGCCATCTGGATCCGCAAGACCCCGAACATCAACCGTGACGAGGGAGATACAGACTCCAGGCGCGGATTTAGGCCGGTTTGCACCGGTTTCCAGAAACCGGTCACAGACTGGGTATCTTCAGAATTGACCCTCAAAATTCACCAGAATGCACCAAATATAACCTAATTTTTAAAAAATTCCCGGGGGAGCATGCCCCCGCACCCCCTAGCTCTGACTAGAACTATGGAAACTGGTCACCCAAACCCTCTGGATCTGCCCCTGGACTCAGTCACGTGTGGTCCGGAGTGGACCAAGCTGTTGCCCACTACGCCATCTGGTGGTCAAAACTGATAATCTTCAGTCAGCTTTGAGAAAGCCTCCTGATAGGAGGTGAAACGTCAGCTGTACGTTTTCCATCAACACAGTTGAGTAACAATTAACCCAGATAGATCTATAGCTTGGGTAGTCGCATTACCACCTCATCACACAACCTAGTTTGGCATGCCATCATGCTTGGTTATCATATGAGGCATGTATGACAACTGACATGTTTTTAGACAAGTGGGGGCGTAACACTATCCTATGAACCAAACGTGAGTACAATATCAAGGAGATGTTCTTACTTTGACATAGGACCATCCACAAGGAAAAAAACAAGCATGTTTAGGAAGGTTATTGATGAGGTGATTAGGCAATTAACTGTTTAGCAAGTTAATGTGATGCAATTTACTGCATGCTATAAGCTGATGGTTAGCCGATATTTGCAATACAATTACAAACCCTAAATGTTCTAATGTATATTCTACTAGCACCCAAGTAATCTACAGCAAACCAAAATGTAAGAGTATGCTGCTCTGCAAAGAGAGTATATACCTCTTTGATTAAATTAAAGAATTTTTTTAAGTTTCTAAATTTACATGCCTGTAGAAAACTAGCCCACCTACCCTGACACAATTTAACCAATCAAAGTTCATTTTCCTTTGACGCCGTCAAGAGCTTATAAGGTATACCTCATAATACCTAGTATACTTCGGTGTAATATATAGGTATAATACCTAATAAGGTATTATTAGCTCTTGAAACCGTATATATTCGATCAAGCACCTATCAGCAATATGAATCCTACCAGTTGACGGGATATATACGACTGCAAACTCCGTCATGCAGCTTTTTTAATGTTGCCGTATATGGGGAATCTTGAAATTTACTGCATTGTTTCTAACACAGCAACTTCTGTTATTTTGTTCCATTCACTAAAAGACCTTTACTGAGAAGAAATTACTCCATTCTAGCCGTGGTCTTTCAGCAGAAACTTGGTAATCAACACTGTCAACTCATTTCATTATTATAAATCTTGTGAGGTATACCTTACTTTTCTTTGTTTCAGTGTAGTAGGTCACAAACACCCTCTTCCTAGTCTTGCTTATCATTCTTCACTCAAGGACTTGGTTACATGCCACTTGGGTTATGGCAATAGAAGAATATATATATATGTTTAACCCTCCTCTTGAGGGTCAAAAGGTTATCCGACACTTACTCTTCGCATGTCAGCGGAAAGTACATTTCATGGTCCTTTCAATAAAGCCATAAAAATGCTAGGTCACCGCTGAAACAAAAAAGTATTTCAATCGCTCCGTCAGACCATGTCCTCAGAAAATGTATAAAATCTGCCCTGTGCCCCATTGACCTCCAATTTCGGCACAGTGATGGCTTTTCCTACCATGATGCTATACACCAACTATCACGAGCCTAGGTCGAGCCGTTTAGATTTGTGCCGCAATTCTGCATTTCCTCCCTATACCTTAAGTTAAGGAGTGAATGTTCCCCCTTCTTTTACACCTCTTGACCTTTGACCCCCAGCTTCGACATCCCAACTCGTTTTGACGATCCCCCCCGACGTGCCGAATATCGTGACCGTACGTCGAGCGGTTAAGATTTGTGCCCAACTGTTGACGGCCGGACGCACGGACGCACGGACGATCATGCGATTCTACAAGCTGCATCTGACTACGTCAGATGAGCTAAAAATCATGGGTCGGGGGACAGCAAACATATAATTTTTTAAGGATGGCCTAATAACTGCTACTTAAACTCCAAATAGTTAATAGTACCTAACCAAGATTGTAGAAACCTTTTTCATGTCTGACAATGACACATTGTCTTCAAGGCAATTAAAAATTTTAAGAGAAAGATGTAAACCTGCTGTTTTCTGCATTATACACACACCCAGTTATGTTCTCACACTGTGGCAGGCATTTGATTGGTAGCTGAGATTTCTGACCAAGCTACACTATGATTACCAGGCATGCCAAGTTCCGTGGGAAATCGAAATAAGCTTATTGATGTTGGCGAATATTAGTCCAGTAATCAAAATATACAGATGCCCCTATTTAAATGTGAAATATTTTTAAAATACTGATTCTTGAATTTTGATGTATAAACGCACCCCCAGAATTTACTGATGTCTGATCTTAGCGATTTTAAAATGCCGATTTTTATTAAAAAAATTCTCGTGAATACCCAACGGCAGTGGCTTTAACTTTGCACGCAATCAAACTAAAATGCCCAAAACCCACACGACACGTACTAACCTTGTGTAACATGACGCATGTCAATGTCATACACTGGCACACACTGAGGACCTACCCACCTTTTCAATTACAAAGGAAATCTGCCCGCGTACATAGCTAAGCTGCATAGTTGATCTGAATGCCGGACGGTGCGCTGGCCTCTGCCACCTGCTGTCTCGTCGCCTTCTGGCCGCCCTGCTTATCCTGGTACATCTTCGCGGCGACGTGCAGCTTCTCGACAAAGTCGGGCACTCCCTTCCTCGCCAACCAGCGGTACGCGGGGCCGGGAAACGGCGCCTGTGGGTCGTCGCTGTACGTGAGCGTGTAGTCAAAGCCGCAGTCGGTGAAGCCGCGGTGCGGCCGGATGACCATCTGCGAGACGTACTGGCTGACGCGCACGTACGAGTCGGTCGCGGGCCGCTGCGGGTGCTCGACGGCGCGCGCGACCAGCACCATCACGCCGCGCTCGTCGTCCACCTTGCCGCGCCGACTGTACACGTAGTCGCGGCTGTACATCGGGTACGGATACTTCGTCACCCAGTGCACGACCTCGGAGCCGCTCTCGTCGTCCGTGTCGATCACGTCGAGCGCGATCACGAGCCGGTCCCACTGCTTGCGGTACTCGCAGTCGATCTGCACCATGTAGAAGGCGATCGACGGCACATCGTAGAAGGTTCCATACACCTTGTACTCGTACAGATAGTTGCAGTCGGGCAGGGGCCGCCGCCACAGCTTCAGGTGCGCCTCGTCGATCATCAGCTCCCACTGGTCCATGTAGTGTGCGAACCGCTTGTCGGGATCGCGCAGGTGTTCGATGTGTTCCATGTCGGCAACGACCCGCTCCATGTCCTCTTCGCTGATGCGTTCATTATCCCAGCTGAAGAGAGCGGCGCTGAGAGCGAAGCCGACGCGAGAGCGCGACGAGAGGCTGCGGCCGAGTCCGGCGACGATGCGGCGCAGCGTCTGTTCGGTGTAGAGCCGCCGGTAGAGCGCGATGATCTGCATGAAGTGGCGGATGCGCTGAGCGACGTACACCTCGCACTGCCGTGTCAGCAGCCGGCCGATCACCAGGCACTTCTCGTCGCACATGTCGCGCAGCTTTTTCAATCGTGCCGCAGAGATGCGAGTACTGCGCCAGCCGCCACTCCGGAACGCGTCGGTCCAGTGTACGGCTCGATTGTGCACTGCCTCTTTTACGATGCCCCTGTCGAGCAGCACGCTGGGTGCCACGGCCTTTCTAAACGCTGTTGCCAACTGCTTAATCAACATCGTGAAGTCTATCTCATATCTATTGATCACGTGACCTGTGATGTTAGCTGGACGTGAATGCTCGCCTTAGAGTGCTCCTTTGTGATTGTATAAGTTGAGCTGTATGCATGTGAGCTTGCATCTGTTATTTGCACTTTGCCTCATACAGCCTTCAGTTGATTTAACAGTAACTACATGCAAATCAGCTAGTGATGTTGATATATATTAGTTAACTTTCACTACACACACAGCACTAATTTACTATATATCCGTCCTCATTCGTAAACAATTTGTCCTATTATGTTGGTCCGGGACAGCATCTAGAATTTGCAGCAAACTGGCTTTGATATACAAACCTGCAAAAGAGAAGTGGAAATGGTAGAAAAGCCATTAGTGGAACATGATATAGGCTCAATCTCGTCACGGATTACATACACACATATATAGATGTTGCACGCAATCTTCCGATCTGCGCTATTTCAAGATCGCGCTGTACATTCTTAAAATTGCGCAGCGCAATTTACCGATAGGCAGACTGCGCGGGAATCTTAAGATTGCACTGCAATCCCCCGATCAGCAGCATCATTGCGCAGTCTAAAATATAAACTCCTCTATTACAATCTAGTCCAAGATATATATACAGTCCGAGAATCCACATATTGCTAATATATAATACCAAGAGCAGATAAAGAAGATATACCGGAACGTACCCTGGTAACTATTTGATATGGTTAGGGTTAGGGTTAGTGTCAGGACCGTGAGGGTTAGGGTTAGGGTTAGGGAGTAGGCGTAGGCGACTCCCTAGACTTGTTAGTGGAGTAGGCGAGGTACGGTCCGGCAGTACCTCGGGGGATAGCTCTAGTACTATAGCCCACGTTCATTAACTGCCACAGGGCTATATATATCTTCCTACTCTTCTTGAAACTTGAAACTTGAGCGTCCAAGGGCCTGTGCTATGACTATGAGGTTATGTAGATACAATATATTGTAAGGTTACAAATGTTATATTATGCAGACTAGCTCTAGTACTATAGCCCGCGTTCATTAACTGCCGCAGTTAATGAATGCGGGCTATAGTGCTAGAGCTAGATGCAGACGTGCCAAAGCAAGGGTATTCAACCAGCTTGTTGGAGTTTTACCGTTTAGTGAGGCTCATAGGGTCTATGTCCCCCAAGTAGCTCTAGTACTATAGCCCACGTTCATAGCCCACGTATTATTAGCCCACGTACTATAGCCCACGTTCATTAACTGCCGCAGGGCTATAGAACATTGTCGGCTCAATTTCGCTACTGCAACCAGTCACCACCTCTCCCCACGAAAAATTGATCGCAAAATGCAAAATGATCGGGCTTTTCAACACTTATTTATTTACATGGACATCTCACATATCTTTTTAAACACTTTCCACAACTTTACACCATGTATTTATCCTTTTATTACTCAAAGTCAGCACTACTGGCATTCCCGTTTGAAATATTCTGGCGTGCGAATGCGTGACATCACCGCTATTGTATATACATGCACCATAGCTGCCATGTGTTTTGCCTACATATACCGGTGCAGTATATGTCTAATCCGGGGACGTCACGCCGCTCTTGCACCCAAGTAAATATTTTCAAACGAATGCCAAGTAGTCGCTGACTTAGCAGTAATAAAAGGATAAAGATACATGGTGCTGAAACGTTGTGTTGAGTGTTCAAAAAAGATAGTGAGATGGACATGCTTAGATAAATAAGTGTTAAAAAGCCGATCATTTGGTTTTGCGCATAATTTTTCGTAGCTGCCACAGGTGTAACAGGTTACAGCTAACGAAATTGCGAACGGCGACAATGTTCTAATAGATAGCCTGCGGCAGCTAATGACGTGCGCGGCTATAGTACTAAGAGCTACTTGGCGGGACATGAGCACCCTATGCAGGCCTCACATAAACGGTAAAAAACTCCAACAAGCTGTGTTGAAACACGCGTTGCTTGGCAGGCCTGCATCTAGCTTAGCCTACTATAGCCCGCTTCATTAACTGCGGCAGTTAATATGAACGCGGGCTATAGTGTACTAAGAGCTATACGTCTGCCAAATATTCAGGCAGGGGGTTCAAGGATAGAGGAACAGGGGCGTCCAAGCCAAACACCAATGTCACTTTACATCGAATAATAAACTATCAATACAAGTGCGGGGGCCGCAGCAGCGACACGCTGGCATCTGAACGTCTACTGCGGGTGATCAGTGTGCGTGGAGTGGGTGGGATTCTGAGTAAACCCTGCTATCCAAGATGTTTCACATACACGCCGAACAGTGGAAAGTGCACAGCGGCCAGGGTATCAGGAACCTTCTCAAAAGCAATGTTCGTTTGAATCCGCTTATGAAAGTTGCCACGCAGCATGTAGCGCGTACGTTTAAGATGTCTTCAGATAAAGATGGGCAAAGCTTCCATTCATTTACGCTAGTAGCACAAACTATTTGCCAAGACAGAATAGCGTAAGCACTCATCCATTTACCTACGCAAGCCTACAGGCCCTGCCAAAATTGCCCAATCAGAGAGCTGCCACCTGCAACCAATTAACCGCAGCAAAAACTGCCAGCCAACACATGCACGGCAGCAGCCACTGGCAGCTGGCATACGTTACACTGTAACATACTGACAGCTACTAGAATGAAATGACATATAAATTATACCGATTTAGCGAACATACACCTTCTTTCTAACCACAAATTTAGCTTTCTTTGAAATTTCACTGTGACAATTGTAGCCTCATACATCAGGCCCATGTACTAGATTCTACTTAGCAAAACCCACGGCCAGTCAAATTCTTTCTAACAGACAGTCAACAAATCCAAGTTTAACCCTCCTCTTGCAGGGTTCAAAAGGTTATCCGACACTTACGGACTTCGCATGTCAGCAGAAGGCGACATTTCATGCGTTCCTTTCAATATAAGCCATAAAAGAATGCTAGGTCACCGCTGAAACAAAAAAGTTTTATCAATCGCTCCGCTCAGACCATGTCCTCAGAATGTCTAAAATCCTGCTCTGTGGCCCCACCTGACCTTTGACCTGTGAACCTCCATTGGCACAGTGCCATGGCCTTTATCCTACCAATGATGCTATTACACCGACTATCACGAGCCTAGGTCGCAGCGTTTAGATTATGTGCTCCGCCAATTCTGCATTTGCCTCCCTATACCTTAAGTTAAGGAGCTGCGGAATGTTCCCCCTTCTTTTACACCTCTGGACCTGTTTGACCTTTGACCCCAGCTGCGACCATCCCAAACTCGTTTCGGATTAGCCCCCCCCACACCTCCGATATCGTGACGTACGCTCGAGCGGCGCTTAAGATTTGTCGCCCAAACTGTTGACGCCGCGACGCAACGGACGCGACGCACGGACGCAACGGACGATCCAAGCGATTCTACAAGCTGCATCTGACTACTGTCAGATGAGCTAAATTATATCCAAAAGTATAATAGGTTACGGTCTATGGTGTGGGTTAGCGATTAGGGCTCTAGCGGTTAGGTTTAGGTATAGAATTTTAGGGTTAAATTAGAGTTAGGCCGTTAGGCGCTTATGCGCACATTGCGTTTTATTGGCGGACCCAATGTTCTCTAATCCTTGCGGCCATCCAGGAGTATATTGATACACTCCTGATAATATAACATCTGTAACCTTACATTATTGTATCTGGCTCATATAGTCATAGCACAGGCCCTTGGACGCTCAAGTTTCAAGTTTCAAGAAGAGTAGGAAGAGCGAAGCGTGCTTTTTACTAATACTATTCTTGAAACTTGAAACTTGAGCCTCCAAGGGCAAGGGCCTGTGTACTCATGTACTCATACTCGTATACTCATAGTCATACTCATACTATCAGTATCATAGTCATAGACATAGTCAAGTCAAGTGAAGTGGCAGTATCGAAAACGGGAAGAGACAAAGATGAATCGCTAAACGTAAGAGGGATCATTCGAAGGCAGCACGTGTCGAAAGCAATGATCATCACGCTCACTCATATGACCGAGTGCAACGAACACCCTTCATGCAGCAAGCTTCATGATCAAGCATTGAAGCAAGCCGGGTAGACATACTGTCACATAGCCGCATCCTATTCCTACTGATTACTGTCAATGATCATCTCAACCTGAAACTAACACAGAACGGGATTAAAAGATAAATTAAAGCCAAAAATTCTCAGATACATTAATTACCGTCATTTCAAGAGTGACGATACATACCTGCAGTAATAAATCAGATTGTGCGTTAGTATAACATTTTATGACAGAAAGGTGAGACCCGAGGACAAGCATGACATTGCCTGGCAGCGCCATCTGTACACGGTCCCCCTAAACACCGGAATGACTCATAATGTCTCGAAATGACTCGAAATAACCTAAAAAGGACTGGAAATGACTTAAACGGGCTTAGAGTGTCTCGAAATATCACAAAATGACTCTAAATGACTCGAAATGCACCTTCTAAACTTTTGTAATGAATAGAAATATCTCAAAATGACTAAATTATAATGAAAATATATTATGTATCATAGAAATGTATTATGATGTCATACAATATATATATATATATGAGGTGGAGGCGATCGAGCATGAGAGAAGGATGAGGAAGGGAAGGAGGAGCGAGAGAAGCAGTGGAGAAGGGGAATAGGCGGAAAAGGAAGAAGGATGTATAAGAGGAGAATGGAGAATACGTACGCAGAAAAATGGGAGGGGATTGTATAGGAGGGAGGAGGTAGATAAGGAGGAGGACAAGGGGATGATGGGGAGGGAGCTGGTAATGGACGGTAAAAGAGAAAAAATGGTGGCAGAGGAAGAATTAAGGTGGTAAAACACGATAGGTGAGGACGTTGATGAGTGGGAAAGGGTTAGAGAAGCCAGAAAAAAGGACGAACATGTTGAGGAAGAAGGGAGATCGAGAGTGAAAACGAAAGTTATTTTAAGAGGGACGAATTAAGGAAGCTGGCTTTAAAAAAAATGGGAGTAATTGGCAGTAGAACCTTTGGTTGAAATATCGGGTGACTGGTGCATGGATTGCGTGGTATAAGCAGCCCAGTAGATGCAGTCTCCATCGACTACACCAGTAACGCTTGCATTTCAGACTGCATCTAGCCATGCAAATTCTTCGTGTAAGTGCATGGCAGGTGTGTGTTCGTCAGCTTGGTGGACCAATGGTCTTGGTGGACAAGTACTAATAGAACGTGGACCAATTACATAGTTGGTAACCCTCCCAGGGGCGTGTACAGGGGGAGGGGGTCCAGGGGTCCGGACCCCCTCCCTGCTCGCGCAGAAAACGCATCCGCAAGTTTGGGTTACGGTTAGACCCCCCCTGGTACAAATCCTGTACACGCCCCTGCCTCCATATTTAGTCTAGCTGGAGTCTCCAGATTTTGGGCTTCATATCTACATGTCTCTTAGCTCATTACTTCATAGTTTATTATAATAATATTTGCAAAAATAATTGCTTCTCAACGCATCAATGATAACGTGGCATAGCTTATAGTGTTAGGGTTAGGGTCTCTGTATGCGCTTCCCGAATATCTGCTAATTGCTCTTGCCATTATGCGTTAAAAAAGTAGGCTAGGACTCTCAAGCAGTTTTATGTGAATATTTCTAGGCAAACAAAAACGGACCAAGACACAAGTCTGCGGCAGTCCGGCACGTGAACTTACAACCCACAACCACGTACTATAAAACTGACACATGCGGATTGCCCTAATAGCAATTACATAATATTGACCTACGTATTTTAATACGTTCATCCTACGTGGAAGTCCACCACAATTATCGCGAGGGTGACAGCCTGGCTCAATAAAGAAGCGGGCGTTTTTTTCATCCAAATGAAGATGACTAAATATAAGGGCCGAATAATAGATGCAAGCTGGCATTTGAATATGCAAGGTCCTGTCAATTAACGCGTGACGCGGTGTGATGTATTTTGGGCCAGACCGGGCACACTCTGATCGCGAACATGATACCTTATTATTAAAATATTAATTGCAGGTGCGTATGGGCTCCCTAAATTTATTCATAATTACACCAAAATACTAGTAAATTAGTATGATAAAAGCTATACCTACAGTGCATGTATCATGTAGGACAGGCATCACCGCACACGAGTAAGGGGCAGCGCGAGTACAAGTCTCCCGCTAATACAAAGCAGCGAAATGTGGTGCGACTATGGTTACTAAAATAGATAGATAATGACAGTCTTGTCAATTAAGTTACACGTATCGAGCATGCGACTCACGCATTTAGCTGTCATTTCACCCTCTCATGAATTTTTCACTCATTTAATTCAAAAATACAAACAGGAATAAAAGATATTATCCACTAAAACGCATGTTCGCAGAATGATAAATAGATAGATAGATAGATAAATAAATAGTTAAATAGATAGATAGATTGATAGATAGATAGATAGATAGATAGATAGATTGATAGATTGATAGATTGATAGATAGATAGATAGATAGATTGATAGATAGATAGATAGATAGATAGATAGATTGATAGATTGATAGATTGATAGATTGGTAGATTGACTGATTGATAGATTGACAGATAGATAGATAGTGTTTAGAAGATACTGCGAATGCGCGAGTACAGGGCTACGCTATAAATTTCACAGTGGATATTTGGTATACGTGCTACTATAGGCACATTGTGATTGCTAAATTAAGTCACTAGATGGTATGTATGCCTACTCCATAATTTACTAATATAATTTCAACAAAATATGAATTCATTTATCTGAACGAAACTTTCCTGCCGGTAGCGTGATTCGCTGCTCGACTGACCACCGTTTAGTTCCCTGCATTGGGTAATTTTTGATTTTATAATATTCATTGGCTCTTTGGCCTGCTGTCTTTCTTATCGTTTCGCCATCCGTCTCCTTTCCTTACTGTATATTGCTACATATGAACGCAAAAAGAGTAAATCGCTATCACGGACATAAAACGAAAATGAACGTTTCTACTCGCCTATAGTGGCCCATGTGGTTATGGTGTAGGTGAGTGAGTATGTGTGAAATCGGAAAAGGATGTATAATTTAACGCCTATCTCGTATTCGTTATTCTGCGAAAGTAGCCTTGGGCTTTAAAAGTGACATATATAGCTTCCGGTAACCCAGGGGCGGATTCAGACCGTATTTGCCGTATTGGGAAATACGGTCTAGATTTCAAAGTGCCCTTCGAAATTTTGCGCTAAAAACTACAGAAAACAATTTGATGGAATTTTGCTATATTCTTTATTTGTTTTCTTTTTCTTCTGATTAATTGACAGGACTTGAAGGAAATCAAAATTTTACATGGGAACAAAACTAGCTTTGATATCTGAAAAAGAAGAGAAGTGCTTGAATCATTCTGCAATCTGCTGGTATGCAAAGCGCAGGCAAAATAAAGCAGAAATAAAATTCCATATTTTTTTTAGCTATTGCATGCTGCTTGACTAAATGTGTGCTCAAATGGTGCTCATTTTTGTGCACAGGGACCCTTGAAATTTTGAAATTTCTTGAGGGAGGCCCCCCAGACCCCCCGCCATGTGCTTCCGCGCCTAACGGCGCCCACTGTGGTGTGGTGTGCCCTTTTTGGGGATGTGCCCTTAAAATCTGGAAAAATACTGTCTAGCTTCAGCCCTGGATCCGCCCCTGTAACCGGAGTGTATATCATCACG